ATTTTCTGGCTTCACAAGAGGGTTTTTTGGTCGTCATCTCCTTCCCCTCATAAATTTTTTTTTCTTTTGATCGGGAAAGTAATTTTCCTTCCCTTCATAATCAGATTGCAATGGATATGTCTTTATTTTTACTTCAAAGAAATTGCCTATTCAAGAATTTTGGAGTATCTCCATTTCATTTGGATTTGAATATTTGTTCAACTCTCGGCAATTTTCATTGAACCCCAAAGAAGAGAAGATTACGCGGAGGAAGAAAGAAAAAAAAAAAAAAAAAAAAAAAAAAAAAAAAAAGACTAGAAACTCTACAACTAAACGTAAACTAAATTTAGAAAAGAGAAAAAAAACTTGATGATGTATCATGTTCTAAGGGGTTAGATTATTACGACACTCTAGATTTAGCGAAATTAGGGTACATGCACCAACTCTAAATGCAGAGGCTCCGGATCCTATTTTCTCCCTCTCTGCTATGAGCAATGTTTTGAAAGGCGAGGCGTTAGGGTGAGGCGTTTTATGTCTCATGACGCAAGATGTAAGCCTCAAAGCATTGAAGCGTAAGCCTTTCGTGTGTTGAATTATTATAATTAGAAAATTATAAAACAACTAATTTAATTTATTAAATGCCACTCTAGAATATAAATTAACCATCAAACTTGTTTTTTCAAAACTTTTCTTACTATTGCTCAATTCTTTGCCATATATCCTTTTGGTTGTCATATTATCTCTCTAAGTTTAGTGACTTTCTACCTAGTTCGAATAGATAAAAGAGTAGATTATGGAGGTGGACTGAACTGATTAGGGGTGGCATTTTAGACTGAAAAATCGCAAAAATCAACCAACATTATACCGCATTAGAACCGCAATAGCTAAAAACTGACCGAAAATTGCAGTTGCAGTATGTGATTTTGGCAACTCACGGTTACCGCAAACTGCAAATATTTTTTTTAAAAAAATTGCATTTTAGTAGTTAGATGTTGTGTTTTAATTTGGTTGAGTTTAATCTATTATTAATATGCTTTTATGTTGTTGCTTTTGTGTGTTGTGTTGTGTTATAGATGGAGTCTAGCTAATCTAACACACCTAATGCCTCTAATCCCCCAAACACAAACCGATACCCCGAAACAAAACCTCCACTCCAACTCAGAAAGAAGGGTTTCTTCTTATAATAAAATCCACTCACCACCACCTACACTTGAGTTCTCCTTTTGGTTTGTAACTTTAATTAACTTTGAATTGGATTTTTCTTTAGGTTGTGAATGCTTGAGAAGTTAAGGTTGAGGTTGTGAATTTATAAATGCTTGAGAAGTTGAGGTTGTAAATTTATTTATTAGGTTGTAAATTTATATATGCTTGAGAAGTTGAGGTTGTGAATTTATTTCTTTAGGTTATGAATTTATATTTTTTGGTTAAAGTATGCTTGAACTCAAAAAGCTTCAAAAAAAGCACCCAACCTAGGCTTAAAAGTGTGGAAGATTGAATTTTGATGACACAAAAAGACCACACTTAAAGATCTAAAATTGTCTAATTTAGGCACAAAATATTCAAATCGGTTTAAACCGTTAATTCACAATAACCGACCGATTTTTGCGGTTTACCGCGGTGCGGTAAACTACAAAAAGCGATCGATTTGCAGTTTCAAAAATCACCTTACCGCAAATAGTCGGTCAGTTTGCGATTCGGGGAAAAATTTGTGGTTACCGAACCACAACCACCCTTAGAACTGATGATGGAAGTTGGAAGGTTGTTTAAGAACTTTGGCTTTGGGGAGAGAGAAGGATAAAGGGGTAAACTAGTTTCTTTTTAAAAAAAATGGTGAGTGTCTAATGTTAAAACTTAAAACTGAAACGCACAGCTTAACTAAAGGGAAACAAAACAACATTGCCCGTGCAAACGACGTCATCCGGAATTAGATTTTTCAAATAAAGGAACTATGTCTTCCTCGCGAGACTTACACATTTCACAGCGCATCTGCATTTAGCGACCCCTCAGACCGCCTTGACTTCAAGGCGTACTCCTTTCATGACATCCGCTAAACTGAGCTATGCCTAAGGCAAATCACCGCTGCCTTGTTCCGACACGCGCGCCTACGCATGCCTTTGAAAACACTGGCTGCGAGTGATAATGATACTTTAAATTATCTTGAATTCTTGCACTAAATTGTCAACTATAATTGTGGTTTTTAAATTAATTTTTTTTAAAAAAATAAATAGTCTAGCTGCACAGCTATATTTTGGGTTTTTTAATTTTATATAAATAGTATAGCTGCCCAGCTATATATCGTTTTTATTATTATTATTTTAATAAATAGTATAGATGCGCCACTATACTTGGGTTTTTGTTTTTTGTTTTTTACTTTAAATAAAGAGTATAGCCACGTTGCTATACTTGTCTCCTTTTTTCTTTTTTTTCATAAATAGTATAGCCATGCGGATATACTTAGGTACATACGTATTTTTTATTAATACTCTTTAAATATTATATTTATACACATATGTATGTATTTTTCAATAATACTTCTATTTTTCGTTCACGTCTTAAAGACTCAATAAAATATACATTTTTTATAAATCAAACCCCTACATAAGTATTTTCCATGTTTAGTACATGTGTTTTTTTTACAATATTTTTAATAATACACACAAAATAATAAAGAAGAAGATAGGTTTGAAGATGGAAAGAGGCCTTAGAAATAAACTAGGGAAAAGAGACGATTTGGTTGCCTAATTGCTAGGCGCATCCTTTTTATTTTTATTTTTTATGAATAGTATAGCCACGTGTTTATGCTCCATAAATAGTATAGCCAATTGGCTATAATGGATCCTTTTTAAAAAATTTATACAAAAAAATAATAGTATAGCCGTACGGTTATACTTGGGTCTTTTTTAATAAATCGTATAGCCGTACGGCTATACCGCGTTTTTAATTTTAATTTTAATTTTTTTATTTATAGGTTAGCCATGCGGCTATACGTATTTTTCCTCAAAAATAGCGCTTAGGCGCTAGGTACATCATTTTTAAAAATAAAAATAAATAGTATTGCCGCGCGGCTATACTTGGGCTCTTTATATATATATATATATATATATATATATATAGCCAAGCGCCTATAGTTCGTTACATACGTATTTTTCACTTATACTCCTTAAATATTATATTTATACACGTACGTACGAATTTTTCAATAATACTTCTATTTTCAATTCACATCTTAAAGACACAATGAAATACACCTTTTTTTTATTAAAGCAAACACCTACGTACGTATTTTTCATGTTTAGTACATGTTTTTTTTACAATAATTTTAATAATACACACAAATAATAAAGAAGAAGATAGATTTGAGGATGGAAAGTGGCCTTGGAATTAAACTAGGGAAAAGAGACGATTTGGGTCCCTAATCGCTAGGCGCATCCTTTTTTTTAAATAATAAATAGTATAGTGGTGCCGCTATGCTTCATAAATAGTATAGCAGGTCAGCTATATTGGGTCCTTTTAAAAAATATAAATAATAAAAATAGTATAGCCTCACGGCTATACTTGGGTCTTTGTTATTTTTTAAATAAATCGTATAGCCGCACAGCTATACTGCGTTTTTTTAATTTATTTTAATTTATAGTGAAAAATAGGCCGCCTAGCCTTTAATTGGATTGGAAGCCTAGGCGCTTGGTGCGCCAGTTTTTTTCTTTTCAATAAATTGTATAGCCGCTCGGCTATACGTGGGGCCTTTTCTGTAATTTTATTTAGTAAAGTGTATAGCCGGGCGGCTATACTTGGTCCCTTTTCCATAGCCGACTGACTATCCTTGGGTTTAAAAAATAATAATAATAATACGTATAGCCGCATGGCGATACGCACATTTTTTGCCAAAAAACAAAACCTCGCCTATCCTCTAGTTGGATGCCTAGACGCTAGGAGGGGCTTTTCCTTTTTTTTTAATAATAAATAGTATAGCCGATCGGCTATACCTGGGTTTTTTTAAATTTTTCAAAAATATAGTGTATAGCCGCCCGGTTACACTTGGGGCTTTTTTTTATTTTTATAAATAAATAGTATAGCCGCCTGGATATACTTGGCTCTTTTTTTTTGTTTTAGTTTTTCTTTAATTATTTTTGTTTATCGATAATAGTAGTTTATAGCATTATCCATTACTATTAGGTCATTATCTGAGTCTTTATTGTTCGTTTTTTATGCTTAAATTTTTTTAATACTTCAAATATCACTATGATCCGACATAGAACTTTTTGTTGTCTTTGTGGTATGCATAGAAATACATATTCTTATTAGCAAATTTGTATGGAAGAAGATTCCATATGATTGTGATACAATAATATGCGTATTATTGAAAAATACTAGGTACGTTTATATAATATATAATTATTTATATTATATTATATTATATATTGTGACTCAGTTTATTTGCGAATACTTTTAAAAAAAAATTTATTTATAAGGACGAATACTTGTTGAATGGCTTAAAAATAATTACATAAAATTGCTTTTGAAATAACTAAAAACGTTCATAACTACATTTAGCAAAATAATTAAGTGCTTTTGGATTTTTTTTTAAATGCATTTTCTAGAGAAACACTTTTCTAACATAAATTACAACGTTCTTTTATTAACATTGTTTAGAAATGCTCGTAACAAAATCGATCATGAGCAGAAATGCTTCCCGTAGAAGCTCCCAAGAATAATTTTCTTTCAATGAACCATTATCATCCAATTATAAATACATAGAGAAAATTAATGTGACATTCTAAACCAAATTTTGTTTTTTTCTTCTTGTTTTAAAAAGACAAAAATGAAAATGAAGTTGGCCTTTCAAAATCAAGATCTCCATGATTCAGACTTCGGACCAATAACAGTAACGGCCAATAACGGAAGCATCAGCTCAGACTCAGAGCTCTCTCTCTCTCCCTCCGATTGCGGTTCCCTTCTCTTGCAGCACTTCGACGAACCCTAGATTTTCTAGGGTTTCTCCCTCTATCTGAAACAGCAAAACGATGCCTTCATCCCCCAAGTTCTTCCACGCGCGCCAACCCCCTTCCGCTCTCAGACCAACCGTCTTGCTCGTCGGGTTCTGCATCGTGTTCGGCCTCTCCGGGTTCATCTTCGGACTCGTCTCGCTTCTCCACCCAAGCCACCAATACAAGTGCCTGACGAGCAAGTCCAGATCGGTAAAGGTGATTTGGGAGAGAGGTAGTAGTAGCAGCAGCAGCAGTCAAAACGGTCTCGTTTTGAATGTTGGAGATGGGAATGACAATAACAAGAGGAAGAAAGTGATGGGATTTGTGGGTATTCAAACTGGGTTCCGATCCACGGGTCGCAGACAATCTTTGAGGAAGACTTGGATGCCGTCCGATGCCCTGGGCCTACAACGGTATCGATTTTCTTTAAGCCTATTTTTAATTAATATCAACATTTGATTCATGATTCACTTTAGTTTTAACTGCGTATATTGTTTGTTGCAAATGCTTGGTCCTTGACAATGTATATAGTTTGAGAATTTGATCCACAACTTTCTTTCCTTGTATATGTGTGTCAAGTGTGTGATTTAGACCATGATATGCTATAGTGACTTGAATAAAGCAACAAAGTTAGAAGCTTGATAATTTTGCTTTCTTTTTTTAATTGATTTTGGAGAAATGGGTTGCAGCTTGGAAGAAGCCACTGGGTTGGCTTTTAGGTTTGTGATTGGTAAAACCAAGGAAAAACAAAAGATGGCGGAACTTGCAAAGGAGGTAGCCGAATACGATGATTTCTTGCTATTGGATATTGAAGAGGAGTACAGTAAGCTCCCCTACAAAACGTTAGTTCTAAATAATTATAGTTTATTTTCCATGATCTAGTTTGTTACTACTGAAGTGTCAAAGTACAAATCTTGTCTGTTTTGCTTATCAAGATAATCTTGTCTGTTTTCTTACAGGTTGGCTTTCTTCAAAGCTGCCTATGCACTTTTTGATGCTGACTTCTATGTTAAAGCTGATGACGACATATACTTAAGGCCAGGTGCCTAGATTTGTACAGCTTGTACATACCATATTAGTGTTTAATATGTCATTTAATTATGAGATTTCTTTGCAGTAATGCAATAACTTTTCATTAATATTATCAGACCGCCTTTCACTGCTCTTGGCAAAAGAGCGTTCTCACTCACAGACTTACCTTGGGTGCATGAAAAAGGGCCCAGTCTTCACTGACCCAAAACTTAAATGGTTAGTGCTGATTTTGTCAAGATTTGGTTATCTTTTCCTCGGTCATATTATTTAGCTTCCATTTTGATTTTATGCCCTTGTTAGTCATAGGAACTATTTTATTTACTACTATGTTGGAAAGTGTGATAACTGAAAGAAGATATATCTTGATGTGTCCACTTGCACCAGATCCATGCCAAGTGATGTGGTTCACTGGTTACCTGAACTAGCTTTTTTTTTTTCCCGGTAGCAAAGTATCTGATCAGTAAAATTCTTGCAGGTATGAGCCACTATCCTTTTTGCTCGGGAGCGAATACTTTCTCCATGCTTATGGTCCATTATACGCTCTCTCTGCTGATGTTGTTGCAAGTTTGGTCGCTCTTAGGAACAACAGGCAAGTTTGTTATAAACAAAAAAACATACCTTGCGGGGAACTCCCTAGTGTATCATGTACCATTAGTATCACTAAAACATTTTAACTTTCGTCAGCCAAACTTTACTAATTAGTTGATATTTTCCCTTAGATGCATGCATTGGAAAGTTATTAATTTTATTATGTTATTTCTGGTGGCGTCTATCTTACCATGGCATGCATACATTGGTGGCAGAGTTTTGACCTTACTTTCCTATTTGACCTAGTGATTTGGTTTAGTAATGCTATATGGTCATGTATGGTGCGTACAGGTTTAGTCATCTATGATATGTAGGACACCTTACTACATGGTATATGTCTTAACATATTTTCCAGCATAATAGGTCATATACTTGCAATTCTGTATTCCTGAAGATTAATTGAGCCTTAGACATTTCCATTCCATTATCCCTTTAGAGTAGGGCAAGGTGGCTGAACATATCTGGCTTTTTAGTTGTTTAAATTTTCAGATATATCGTTTCAAAGCAGCTTTACTTATAACCATGCATATAGTGAAGAGGGCTAATGGCGTGGTCTGTTTAATTTCTCCTTGTTTATTTATTTTAAGCTTAAGAAGATTTCCTCAATGATTCCTCGTTGACCCAGTTGGTGGGTGTTGGTAATATTATTTGGTTGCATATGGAGTGTCCAGTTTAAGTTGTTTTATGATATTTAGGTCATGCTAATTCATGGTACATGTCTTAAAATGTTTGTCAGTGAAATGTGCATAGCCCATATTGTATCCTACTCTTTTACTTTCCTGAACAATAATTGTCACTTAGGCCTGACCACTCCATTATCAGTTGAGCCAAGCCCTGGGTGGTTGAACATAACCAGCCTTAATTGCCGTTATTAACTGTTTAATTGTCTAAAAGGAATTATAGTTTGACAGGATCTTAAATTATAGCCATGGCTAAGTTTCTTATTCCTAGTGTATAAGTGGTGAGTGTTGGGTTTCATTGCCCTGTTTTGCCGTTGGGAATATAATGTGGCCAAAACAAGCTAACAAGTAGTTTAGAAGTGAATGCTTAGTTCGACTTTATGAGAACCTCGATCTATTTCAAAAGCAACATTTGTAGTTTATGCTGACTGATTGAGACTTGGTGCAACCCAAAGAGAAGCCAAATAACTGAAGTTTTTATTACTCAAGTAAAAAAAACAAACAGAAGTTGAGTCTTGCTAAGTCTGTGTTCATGGCTTAATAAACCTAGTCCAACTCCAATTGGCACTACACAGAACTCCACAAAGGAAGAATGAATATCAGGAGGTTTTGTGCTTGTGATACCGCCTCCAATGATAGACCCTTTGCCCCCTTGGTAGAAATATATCAGTTGGAATTTCTTGCATCATTTGGTGCTGCTGGTTGTTACCCTCTGAAAATAATTCCTAGAGCAGAAGCTTCTGAATATACTAACTAGGACATGATTGATCCTGAGTCATCTTCAGCTATTTCATATTCATTTTCTCTTTAAATTCAAATATTCTGAATAAAATAAAATAAACTTTATGGGATTGTGAAATTCTTTTGTTTTGGTGCAGTGGGATTTCCATTGATTTCCTTTGAGAAGGTGGATCATGATAGTTAAAAATAATAGAGGTCATATGCTTGTGTAGGTCACATATTTCTTGTTTCCTACCCCATAATGTAGCTGATGGGTTCCATCTTCTGTGTAATTTCAGTTTCCGAATGTTTAGTAATGAGGATGTCACAATTGGTGCGTGGATGCTTGCTATGAATGTCAACCATGAGAACAATCAGGCATTGTGCTCACCACGGTGTACATCAACATCTATCGCTGTCTGGGATATTCCTAAATGCTCAGGTTGGTGTTTCTTCTCACTCCAACACACAGTTGAAAGTGAAATATGAGCCAACATTTCTTTACTCTTTTATTTTTATTTTTTTTGGTTTGGTAAGTTAGAGGTTGTAGAGATTGAAACAATCTCTATGAATTCTTCTGGTAAGCGAACTCCATATGCTAAAAATTTTGTTTGAGATCAGTGTTCGGAGACATCAAACTTTTTCATCTTTTGCAGAGACCTACCTTAGTGACAAACAAATAGGAGGTTTTGGGCCTCAAGAAGTAATGTTTTACATATCCCATTGACCTGTATCTTTTCCCAGCCTTTGAAGACAAATACCTACTCTTTAGTTTGGAATGTTGGAGTTGAAATGAATATAGGAAATGGCTTGAAATGGAAAACTCTTACAAAAAGCTAGGAGTGATTTTAAATCAATTACATTTGAAAAATCTGTTATAGCTTCAAATAATTCTATGCATGACAGATATTTGGATTAATTGAAAATGATTTGGAGTCCACATTAAGCTCAGAAGAAACATTCAATCATTTTGCCCTCATGAGAGTTTAGATGAGGAATTGGAAACTGAAAGTAGTCAAGCTCAAGTGTTCAGCATTCACCTAACAAACACATTCGGGTTTGGACATTAATGTGAAAAGAAAAAAGTTTAGATTGTTTTACATATTACTGTTAATGCAGGGCTCTGCAATCCGGAAACCGAATTGTTAGAACTCCACCAAAAGGACAGCTGCTCAAAAGGTCCGACGCTGGAATCTGATGATTAGCAGTCTTGCATCCGCTCTCAGAGTTGATTGACTGAGTTATATTTTTTGTGTGTGCCCGTACTTGCATTACCTTACAATGTCATTTTTTTGTTTCTTCCCCATGTAGTAAGAACACAGAAAAATATATGTACATTTTTTTAAGGATCCCAGAGAGGGATATGAGAAAGATGGGGTGTGGCCCGTATGGGTCAGAGTTACAGGATTTAGGAAGAACAGATAGTTGTCAGGGTTGTAATCAATTATGTCAATTTTCTAATCAAATCTCATTCTTTAAAATTTTAACTTCATCTTCTAAAGATAATTGAGCATTGCACTTGCGTTTTGGATGGAATTCTTACACATAACTTCAGCAAAGAATGAAGTGTTTTTATTTGTTTTTATTTTTTGGCTACAGAAGAATGAAGGTTGGTTTCTGGAAGTGGAAACAGTTTCTTTTCTTTCCTATTAGTTTGACAACATATAGATTAAGACATTGTAGCTTGACAACTCATTGTAGCCCGAGGGCATGAACCTAATCTATAATTTTAAGAACAGTTGGGTTGGGTGCTTGTTCGGCACGTCTATTCTCTACTGCTTTCTTTCTGCGTTATTTTTGTCCATAGGGTTAACTCAAATCCGAAAAGAGACCTAAAGAAAACCGTACGCAAACATGACAACTTGGTAAAACAAAACATGAGTGGGTGTATATGTAAAAATATCTTGAAGAATGGAACAAGAAAACAAGGATTGTATCAAAAGGAAGGAACAATGGTAAAACAAAATAATATGTATACCAATGAATTGGACTAAGGTTAGGGTACATAATGAAACAAGAGCTGTGAAAGCGTCATATGCCAACACACAAATGATGCATGATGATGGCCCAATGAACATACCAGAGACCACCAGCATCGATGCATTGGATTCATGTCCGACTTCACGTTCACATATATAGTCTGCTACCCACACAGACAGAACTAACAGAAAAATCCATGACTGCCCTTGCTCTCTCTTCTTCCTATCCTCAAACCCATGTGAATCTGATCAATTTCTCTCTCTCTCTCTCTCTCTCTCTTCTCTCTCTTAGTGTTCAAGATGTCAACTTGGTGGTATGGGGGTGCCCATGTTCTCTCTCTCTCTCTTAGTGTTCATCATCATCAGTGCTTCCCCATCAACCATGCACCATGTTATGATATATATGTCAAACGCATAAGGTTGACATGTTCATATTAAATATTTGATATGCTGGTGTTTTGGTCTCCACTGTCTCATGGCCCCACCCAAAACATGATCAACTGTTTAAACTTGTTTGCATTTAAAACCAGATCCAGTTGTTCCCATATAACCCAAAAAATAAATTGGATCAGTCAGGACCAAAAGCTAGTGGATGAACAATAATGGCAATCTAAATTTTTAACCCAAATAATTGAGCTAGAAATCCAGGTTCAATTGAATATAAGTTGATCAGTGGAGTTGAAGTTATTGCTTCTGATTTTTTTTTTTTTTTTTTTTTTTTTTTTTTTTTTTTTTTTTTTTTTTTTTTTTTTTTTTTTTTTTTTTTTTTTTTTTTTTTTTTTTTTTTTTTTTTTTTTTTTTTTTTTTTTTTTTTTTTTTTTTTTTTTTTTTTTTTTTTTTTTTTTTTTTTTTTTTTTTTTTTTTTTTTTTTTTTTTTTTTTTTTTTTTTTTTTTTTTTTTTTTTTTTTTTTTTTTTTTTTTTTTTTTTTTTTTTTTTTTTTTTTTTTTTTTTTTTTTTTTTTTTTTTTTTTTTTTTTTTTTTTTTTTTTTTTTTTTTTTTTTTTTTTTTTTTTTTTTTTTTTTTTTTTTTTTTTTTTTTTTTTTTTTTTTTTTTTTTTTTTTTTTTTTTTTTTTTTTTTTTTTTTTTTTTTTAAACAAGTAGTTTAGAAGTGAATGCTTAGTTCGACTTTATGAGAACCTCGATCTATTTCAAAAGCAACATTTGTAGTTTATGCTGACTGATTGAGACTTGGTGCAACCCAAAGAGAAGCCAAATAACTGAAGTTTTTATTACTCAAGTAAAAAAAACAAACAGAAGTTGAGTCTTGCTAAGTCTGTGTTCATGGCTTAATAAACCTAGTCCAACTCCAATTGGCACTACACAGAACTCCACAAAGGAAGAATGAATATCAGGAGGTTTTGTGCTTGTGATACCGCCTCCAATGATAGACCCTTTGCCCCCTTGGTAGAAAATATATCAGTTGGAATTTCTTGCATCATTTGGTGCTGCTGGTTGTTACCCTCTGAAAATAATTCCTAGAGCAGAAGCTTCTGAATATACTAACTAGGACATGATTGATCCTGAGTCATCTTCAGCTATTTCATATTCATTTTCTCTTTAAATTCAAATATTCTGAATAAAATAAAATAAACTTTATGGGATTGTGAAATTCTTTTGTTTTGGTGCAGTGGGATTTCCATTTGATTTCCTTTGAGAAGGTGGATCATGATAGTTAAAAATAATAGAGGTCATATGCTTGTGTAGGTCACATATTTCTTGTTTCCTACCCCATAATGTAGCTGATGGGTTCCATCTTCTGTGTAATTTCAGTTTCCGAATGTTTAGTAATGAGGATGTCACAATTGGTGCGTGGGATGCTTGCTATGAATGTCAACCATGAGAACAATCAGGCATTGTGCTCACCACGGTGTACATCAACATCTATCGCTGTCTGGGATATTCCTAAATGCTCAGGTTGGTGTTTCTTCTCACTCCAACACACAGTTTGAAAGTGAAATATGAGCCAACATTTCTTTACTCTTTTATTTTTATTTTTTTGGTTTGGTAAGTTAGAGGTTGTAGAGATTGAAACAATCTCTATGAATTCTTCTGGTAAGCGAACTCCATATGCTAAAAAATTTTGTTTGAGATCAGTGTTCGGAGACATCAAACTTTTTCATCTTTTGCAGAGACCTACCTTAGTGACAAACAAATAGGAGGTTTGGGCCTCAAGAAGTAATGTTTTACATATCCCATTGACCTGTATCTTTTCCCAGCCTTTGAAGACAAATACCTACTCTTTAGTTTGGAATGTTGGAGTTGAAATGAATATAGGAAATGGCTTGAAATGGAAAACTCTTACAAAAAGCTAGGAGTGATTTAAATCAATTACATTTGAAAAATCTGTTATAGCTTCAAATAATTCTATGCATGACAGATATTTGGATTAATTGAAAATGATTTGGAGTCCACATTAAGCTCAGAAGAAACATTCAATCATTTTGCCCTCATGAGAGTTTAGATGAGGAATTGGAAACTGAAAGTAGTCAAGCTCAAGTGTTCAGCATTCACCTAACAAACACATTCGGGTTGGACATTAATGTGAAAAGAAAAAAGTTTAGATTGTTTTACATATTACTGTTAATGCAGGGCTCTGCAATCCGGAAACCGAATTGTTAGAACTCCACCAAAAGGACAGCTGCTCAAAAGGTCCGACGCTGGAATCTGATGATTAGCAGTCTTGCATCCGCTCTCAGAGTTGATTGACTGAGTTATATTTTTTGTGTGTGCCCGTACTTGCATTACCTTACAATGTCATTTTTTGTTTCTTCCCCATGTAGTAAGAACACAGAAAAATATATGTACATTTTTTTAAGGATCCCAGAGAGGGATATGAGAAAGATGGGGTGTGGCCCGTATGGGTCAGAGTTACAGGATTTAGGAAGAACAGATAGTTGTCAGGTTGTAATCAATTATGTCAATTTTCTAATCAAATCTCATTCTTTAAAATTTTAACTTCATCTTCTAAAGATAATTGAGCATTGCACTTGCGTTTTGGATGGAATTCTTACACATAACTTCAGCAAAGAATGAAGTGTTTTTATTTGTTTTTATTTTTTGGCTACAGAAGAATGAAGGTTGGTTTCTGGAAGTGGAAACAGTTTCTTTTCTTTCCTTATTAGTTTGACAACATATAGATTAAGACATTGTAGCTTGACAACTCATTGTAGCCCGAGGGCATGAACCTAATCTATAATTTTAAGAACAGTTTGGGTTGGGTGCTTGTTCGGCACGTCTATTCTCTACTGCTTTCTTTCTGCGTTATTTTTGTCCATAGGGTTAACTCAAATCCGAAAAGAGACCTAAAGAAAACCGTACGCAAACATGACAACTTGGTAAAACAAAACATGAGTGGGTGTATATGTAAAAATATCTTGAAGAATGGAACAAGAAAACAAGGATTGTATCAAAGGAAGGAACAATGGTAAAACAAAATAATATGTATACCAATGAATTGGACTAAGGTTAGGGTACATAATGAAACAAGAGCTGTGAAAGCGTCATATGCCAACACACAAATGATGCATGATGATGGCCCAATGAACATACCAGAGACCACCAGCATCGATGCATTGGATTCATGTCCGACTTCACGTTCACATATATAGTCTGCTACCCACACAGACAGAACTAACAGAAAAATCCATGACTGCCCTTGCTCTCTCTTCTTCCTATCCTCAAACCCATGTGAATCTGATCAATTTCTCTCTCTCTCTCTCTCTCTCTCTCTCTCTTAGTGTCAAGATGTCAACTTGGTGGTATGGGGGTGCCCATGTTCTCTCTCTCTCTCTTAGTGTTCATCATCATCAGTGCTTCCCATCAACCATGCACCATGTTATGATATATATGTCAAACGCATAAGGTTGACATGTTCATATTAAATATTTGATATGCTGGTGTTTTGGTCTCCACTGTCTCATGGCCCCACCCAAAACATGATCAACTTGTTTAACTTGTTTGCATTTAAAACCAGATCCAGTTGTTCCCTATATAACCCAAAAAATAAATTGGATCAGTCAGGACCAAAAGCTAGTGGAATGAACAATAATGGCAATCTAAATTTTTAACCCAAATAATTGAGCTAGAAATCCAGGTTCAATTGAATATAAAATTGAGCAGTGGAGTTGAAGTTATGCTTCTGATTTTCTTATTACTATTGTTATCGGTGGTGGTGATTGTTAAATCATTGATGCTTTGAGCCTATGAGTGATGAGGTGAAGAGTGGATGTCAAGATAATTGAAGGCAACATGAGATGAGCTCCTCCAATTTCCCAATCATATGATTCATTTCTTATCATGATGGCCCTTTGGATTCATGGACCTCTGTCTGAAGAAGGGCTTTTTTGTTGTGGCCCATCTGTAGATTGACATTTCTTGATGAAGACTATATATACAAGGTCCTCATAATCAGTCTGATGACTCATGACACACTATTGACCCCAGTGAAATTTCTCAAAATATTATTCATCAAGTTTTAGTTCTGAATAAGGTTTTTAGTTTATTGGACATGCAGTTGAGTCAAATATAAAATTAGGTTTAAACCTAGGGCCGACTGCCTTTATATAAAAAATAAAAAACCCAACAACAAAACTCTCAGCATGAAGAACCCTTTTTTTTTTATAATGTTTTTTTTATAAAAAAAACAAGTGATTGGCGGAGGGATTTTACACAAATATTCGTTAGGTGCTTGGGGGGTTTCGAACCTTTGCCCACATCGGTGGAGGTGAAAGAACCCTTTTTTAAACGAGTGCCAGGATGTTTGTTTTGTTTACAGTCATTGCTGAATGCATAGGATTCTGATTAACAAGGATCCCTTGTTTAGAGTTTGGTGAGGTCATCTATAGTGCCACAATTTTTACATAGAAAAGAAAAGGGAAAGAAAGAGAAAAAACAAAAACCAGTAAATAAATAAATCCCACCATAGCAAAATATTATATGAGGTATTGATCTGAGCAGAACATCATTTAGTGGGTTGATCGATGATGGTTAACCATTTTAGTCTTATCTTGATTCAGCAGAATCAGTACTAATTTATAATTATAATCCCATTATGATTAATATTCCTTCAGCTGTCTCTCTAAACAATTCATTTGGAGCTCATATATTTCCATCTACAAGAAAACAAGAAACAGGTTTTACATTTGACCTTCCAGTCAGCTTTATAATCAGATGTTCTTTTTTTTCTTTTTCTTCTTCTTCTTCTTCTTCTTTCCAGTGCAGTCGCCAAAATAATGGTTCCTCATTCAAAAGTCACCAATATAATTGCTTCTAGTCTCATATGATCAAATGGGCAGCACGTGCCTTGCTGGAGCTCCTCAATTCCCTCAATCAGTACTCTTGTCTCTCACATCCATAATGCATGAATCTAAGGGGGGAGAGAGAGATGAGAGATGAGAAAGAGACACAGAGAGAGAAAGAGAGGTCTAATCTTTCTTATTTCTATGTTACCTGCAGGTTTTGGTACAGTGATATATAACTCTATATATATTTTCTGACATGCTTTGCTCATTGTTCTGCTGCTTACCATTATTTCCTTCCTGGGTAAGCTGTATAGTAGTTTTTTTCTGTTCTTTTGCTCTTTGTTTTTTGCTTTGACTGGCTCTTGGAAGTGGTCAGAATTAAAAGAAAAATGATTCAAAACGTGCAACACTTATTCTTGTGGTGGGAGTGGGAGGTGCATATTTCCATTTCAGAATCCCAAGTTAATAATACTCAGCACAAAATTCAAGAAGCAAACATTCAATTCATTTCAATGAAGAAAGTAAAGAAATCCAATGTGATTTGAATGAATAAAAACAATGGCTGAGGAATATGAGCTTGAGGACAAATTAACAACCAAGCCATGAGGGAAACTCCTCAGCCCTTTTCCCTACAGGTCAGGAATCCAAGGTGACCCAATTGGGAGGAGATAACAGAGACCAATGTACATACATGCTTAGAGAGGCATGTGGTTTACTGATTTTTTATGCTAATTATTTAGGCTGTTTTTATGTACCCTCCAAACACATCACTATCCAATGATAGCTGAAACATTATCCAATCCCATTGAAAAAAAGAGGACTATCCAAGCACATCTAGCTAGCTTGTATTCTGTGAGATTCCACTACAAGTCGAACATCAATTATGAAACCATCATCTGTCAAAGCTTGTTTTAATTCTGTAATGAAGAATTTTTGTACAAAATGTTATTCAACCACTTGACTCCATAGGAGATTAAATCACTTGCATCTTTTTTTAATCAACGAAGAAGAGGGAATTCGAACTTTAATACCGAATGGCTGTCACCAAACAAATCATAATGAACCTTTGAATGATTTAACAAAAAATGGGACTAAAAACAAAATGTGGGTCCAATTTAATTTATAAAGTTGCTGCTTATATGTGAAAACATGTTAATTGTATGTGAAAGTCTAGAAAGGGAGAGAGAAATGTCTCAAGTCTCAACCCTATTCCTTCATGAAACAAGCAAAGAAATCTATGAGCTGATCCTTGAAATGGTTCTGACACTTGCGATTATTTGTGTCTGAAATTTGCTTAGTTTATTTATCCGTACTCTTACAATCTGAGGAGACATTAATTCTAAGTTCCCAGGAGCAAGCACCCTACACCTTATCACCAATGCCAAATTTTAACCAGCACTTGTTTCAATCAATAAAATAATGAAAACAAAAACAAAAACAAGAAAGATGAACTGGGTTTGTGGTGCCAGTACACAATATGAATGTGACATTGTCCAAACTTGAGAACCGAATAAACTTATTTCAAGAAAGATGGATGAGAGAAGCAGCAGAGGCTGAAAGAGATAAGAAGAGGATCGCATATCAAATTTCCTCCAAGAACATCATGGTTTCTCTTCAATGATCACATGGCTGTCACGTGACCTTGCAGCTCTATGACAAAGTCCTACCACATTTCTTAGAGACTCTCTGCAATCTGAAACTGACATCCTTTTTGGCACTGCACTGCCAGTTTCTACATTACCACCACTCACCTCCTTTTCTTTACAATCCAATCCAATCCAATCCAATCCAATCCAATCCCAAAGCTTGTTACATTTGTTACACAAAGGTAAACACTTTCTGGGCCTGGACAATGCATTGTGACAATAAGAGCAAAAAAAACAAAATTCATAACCTAAAAGGGAAGGTATTGGAAAATCTAGGGAGGAAAAATAAATTTGACTGAGCAGACCACACTACCTGTAGAGGACAAAAAGTAAGTGAGACCAATTAGAGACCAGGATCCAGGAAATTTCATCACCCCCTTTCCCTTCCCTTCTGGCTTTTGTAAAAAAATTAAAATTAGAACTCCCTATCTCTCATGTGATGAACATGCTTCTTCTGACCCCCATGATTATAGGGTCTGCAATTTTAATCCTTAATATTTATGTATCCGTACTCTTTACTTACACACAACACAGAGGGCTCCAAAGTCCAAGACATTCTAAGGTTGCAACTTGCAGCTCAGCTCTCTCTTCCTCTCTTCATGGTTCTCACATGGCTGGTCAGGCTCTTGGAAGTTGGACGCACACAACATGTACAAATATTATATACACACACATATATTGCACACTTTGTCAATCTTTCTTAAGATTTCTTCTGGATTTAAAGGTCCTAATCTGTGGGCTAATTGGTTTAGTAGATTACTAAGAGCTGGTTATCTTTTGGGTTTAGAA